TTATGACCCAAAGATAGGTCATTACATGCCTAGGATTGCTGGTGTCGAAATTCCCATTGGTTTGTTTCTAGATCTATCAAATGCATTCGACATTATTGACCATCACATACTGTTATCCAAACTTGACACTTTGGGAATTAGAAGCATTGCACTTCAATGGGTTAAATCTTACCTCTCAAATCGTTGTCAAGTAGTCACAAGCATGTTAGAGATAAAAAGATTTCTATCCATTTTTCGCGACCTAAAATGATTTTTTTTTTTTTTTTTCAACTTTCCCCACGTCAGTAACCCTGGCGAGGCGGGAGTTTATTTCCTTCTTGGGGTACAACATACGCCGCAGCTCTATGGCTTATGCGGCAAAAACGGGGGCAGAACTTACTAACTTATTTCTAACTTAACCTATGGATGAAGCCGGCACTTTTGCCGGCAACCTAAGATTAGCACATGACTTTGTATTTTACTACATGCTTATTTGTTTTAGTTTTCTTGGATTTTTTTTCCATTCACACGCACATTCACACGCTCATTCACACAATGTTCTATTTACACTTGACACACGCACTTTCACACGACACTATATACATCCTAAACACTATTTACACTATGTGCGCCACGGCGCCGACTTTGCTCCAAGCGTCCGACAAAAGCGCGCAAACGTCAATCATCACGGCTCTTCGCCGACGACGGACTAAGGGACCGAAGCAGGTACCTGCTGCGATCCCTTTGTCCGCCGTCGCCGGAGGGTCGGCGAAGAGCCCTGATGATTGACGTTCGCGCGCTTCTGTGGCGGCGTGGGCAAGCGGTCTAAGGCGCAAATGAGCTGCGGTAAGCCGCGCTTACCAAACAAGTGTTTCGAAAGACGCCGCCCCGCGCCGCGGGTGGCAGACCGGTGGTGCGTTGGGGCCGAGCCGCTGGCTGGGGGTGGTCGCAATTCGCGGAAGGTGCAAATGGCGGGGGGGGGTCATAAACCGCACATGCCAACAAGTGTTCTGAAGGACGTCGCGCCACGCAAGAGTGGCAGGCCGGATCAGCGGATCACAATGTCCTTCTCGGACAAAAAGAAAGTGCGAACGCCGGGAGCAACGGGTGGTGCGGCCCGCTCGGGAGGGGCGGCGCAGGCGGTTGGAATGCCAGAAGCGTGCGTGAACACCAGATGAATATTTATTTTTTAGTTTAGTTTAATGACTTTTCTCAGGATTTCATTTGAAGAAGTTTCGGAATTAAACATCTTACTGAAAATTGTTTGGGAAGGGAATGAAGTTGGTTGTTGTGGTTTTAGTCCCTTCGTGAGTTCACCCACAATTCCTCCCTAGAAAAGTGTTGGTTGTAGAGGTTTGCCACTTTTTTCGTATTACTTGCTTCTCTTTCATTATCCTTTAAAACATTCTTTACTAAGTACCTAGATGTATTTTTTACGATGCTTTATATTGCATTAGTTTTGTTACTAGCGTTCAAAATATCCTGATTATTTTTGCCTAAACTATTACTTTCCTTTTTTTTTGTATTATCGGAAGTAGACATGGAAACTGGGTGATACGTTATGATGTTATGATATTTAGAAATAAAGTAAAGCATACGTTTGTTTTTACACGATGTTCCAATTCCTTGTGTGATCCAAGCACAATTTTTCCTTTTTTTTTTTTTTGAGAGGAATGCATGCGTTAAAGTGACATAATTGCTTTGAGAAAAATAAAAAAAAAAATTTTTGGTTTGTGTCAACAGCATTATAAACGGTGTCCCATGATTCCTTTAGCTAATAGTCCGTGTTAACTTTAATGAATGGTCTGTACACGCGTGTATTATTTATAATGTTCATATTATTAGTAATTGTAAGAATTCGTGCATCGTGCTCACTTTAACCTAGATTAGTAGTTCTTATTCATATCTAGTTGTGGTTTTGTTAATTATAATTTTATCTATCGCTTTCTGTGATTTAAATGTATTCCGGATATTAAGTACATTCACTGTAATATCTAAATTAAAAGAATGCAGTAAATTGAGAAACTGCTCTCTTTCGTAGGATTCGTTCAGAAAATTAATATTTAAATCTCCACAAAAGACAATGGATTTAAAAGATAGATTACTAATTTTGTTCAGTTATCTCTCGATCTTCTACGAAAATGAAATTATCTAAAACTCCCTTTGTTGGAAGTCTGTAGATGCAAAGATAGTTTTGAGAGATTAAACATCCTGTAAACTTCGCGCAAAACTAAGGAAGGGACTGCCTTTTCTGTAACCCCTAGTCCCAACAGTGAGAATCATTAATAGCGGGAGAAGCGAAATCACCTATGCCCATATTTCGCTGTATGCATAGTGTTATTTCTACAATGGCTGTATGCAGTTGGGACTGGAGATTATTCTATTTATATTTATTCAGTTAATAAAAAATAAAATAAATTTTAAAAAAATAGTGAAAAACTGTATGTGACGTAGGGGGAGGGGAATATTATCTGCACACGTTTTCTTAAGTTCCAGAATCCCTTCGTCATTTTAACTACAATTAGTTGAAAGTTGAAAAGGGGGAATAGTTGAAAGGAGGAGTTCCAGATTGGGAAATGGAATTGCCGCAGAACTGCGCCGAAGCTTTTCGCAAGTTAGACAGGTCAAGTTATATTGGTCATGAACTCGTAATTGAAAGAAATACTATTTCGCATATTTTATTTTAATATCAAACAGAAATTAAATAATTCTGATAAGGACTGGGGGACCTGCAGCCGGCACTGCCTGTGCTTGGTATTTTCCACGCACGTTTTGAGCCATCACTTGACTAGTTGCGAGAGATGTGGGGTAAGTTATTTTGACAAACAAGAATTCTATGACAAATTTGTAGTTCTTTTTCGATGCTAAATAGTTTTTATTTTACGGGAGTGAACTTTTCTGGTTATCAGATTTTGTTGCTATTCTTTATTCCTAATTCAACTAATGTTGGCAAAGGAGTGGGGGTAGGTCTTCTTGAGCTCAAGAAAACGTGCGCGTATAATACAGAGTTCAACAGTACTGATATTGCATGTATGTATTTGGCGCGACAGCCTGTGAACGGGTTCAGGCCTACCGGCGACGTCTCTGCCTCGCGGCCATGGGTTACGGGGGTACGTGTGGCTAGCACGTAGACATCCCCACGTCGTATTCCGATCTTCTACACCTGAGAAGTGAATTTTCGTATTGTCACACAGCAACATACAGTGGCACATTACAAGGAAAACGCACACTATTATCTTGCCTCGCTGGGAATCAAACCCGGGGGTGGACCCGCGTAGTGGAAACGCACGCTGACCCAACAGCTAGCCACGAGGGGACTGATACTAGAGTGACCTAAACGCCAGTAATGTGTGCAGGGTAGCATTTTTTGTTTTAATGAAATTCAACATGGTCCAGATTCTTGTCCAATTTGGCTCCTGAGATTTCATCACTTTTAGTGGACATACTAATTTTTTTTTTATCGTGTTGTGTATTTTCGTGTGTGTTTTGTATTCATAATTGCCATTTTCGTACATCTTAATTTGCTTGTGTTATCTACTTTTGTAAGCGAGTTTTGTATACGCTATTGTTAAGTTTGAGTTGCGCATTTACCTTCATGCAACTAACAACTGTATGAATGTGATCAGTTTGCGGTCTGTCTCATCATTATGAGTAAAATTAATACATAACACACATAAATTATGTATCTACTACAGAATGTAACAGCAGAATTATATATATAATACTACTCCAATGGTACTGAGGACTGATTAGCTTCAGGTGTAACTCCTGTGACAGTATCAGAACTCCCATCCAAGGAAAACATTGATATGACACAAAACTTCAAAAACCATGACAGAGTAACTGAATGGAATTCAGCCTGACCATATCATTGTCCAGATTCAGGTTTCCTGAGACTTGTTATATCCCTGTAAATGTTAAGTAATCGCACAGAGCAGTTTGTATCCTAACCCCTTTCCACTATCTGTCCTTTTTCTTGTGGTGCATTTTCCACGAGTTTTGTAATTATACTTCCACCACTCATTCTCTTTTATATTTTCTTCTATTTTTGGGAATATTATTTATATATCTTATTACAATTATTTAACATGCAACATATTTCTTATAAATTGGTAAAATCAGTTCATTAAATAATTTTTGTCACTACCATCTTCATATGAGTATGTATTATTTCCATCTCTTCTCACATGAGACATTCCTCTGACTTGTAAGTCTCCTTGCAAGTTATGTGCATTTAATATTTTCTAATCTCACCCAACACTACCTATGAACATTCCCTTCTGATACACCAGATCCTGCTACACTCACTCAAAATCTCCATCATAATTTTCCATTCACTATCACATTGGGGTACAGATGAGAAAATGAAAGCTTAGAAGTAAAATAGTGAGGTATCTTATTAGTGGAGTCCAAAATTTTGACAAAATGCCTTTTTGTTATGGTTACAATTTCACAACTTTTGACAATAGGAATCTCTTAATTGTGCTTTTGGAGTTTTTTAGGGAATTTTCATTTTGCCATTTTGTCTTATTTGTGCCCTTTTCATTCTTATTTTGCTTTTCCCCCCCTCCTCCCACTGACCTCAATAAAGCAGAAATATACCTGCATACCTGGACAACATGAAAGCATGGTATTTTGTCTTTCTGCAGAAGCAAAAGCATTGTTAGAAGTCTAAATGAAGTGGATACCAGTCAAAAGTTCTGATTTGTTTCACTGATGACAACAGTGTTCACTCACGCAAAATTTCCCACCCTTCTTCAAGTATGATCTTGGATCCCTCTGAGCACAGCTCTCTGTGAATAATTTGCTGTTCTTGGTGCTGGCAATTTCACAAATACGAAGAACAAAAAATATAATTCCCTTACTGTATTTCCATTTCAAGATTGAGATGGGAGTCAACAAAATCATTTCAGAGCTTCATACAGTCAGGTCCTGTGGAATCGAGATTACCAAGAAAATTGTTTCCTTACTTTTTAAGTGCTAATGTAAATTTTAGAAGTATAATAAAACTGAATAATTTTAATATAATTACAATAATTACCTTTAAAAGTGAATTTTCATTGTTTACATGCCTTTTTTTTACACCCCTACTTTAGCCTATTATTAATAAAAATAAATGCCTTTTAGGTAAAATATATGCCTGAACTTCCAGGGTCTACTTATTAATATTACATTTGTCTATGCCAGTGAACTCCATTTTCCCCATCCACAGTGAGTGGGGCTGGCCTGCCCCTTAAAAAATGCAAGTTATTATTTTTTTTTAAAACAAAACAAAAAGCAAAACCTAAGCGTTTTTTTTTTAAATTTAATGAATGGCATGTCCAGTCCAAAGACTTTACTTTCATTTCTGCCACAGAACAATTATGAGCATGACAAAATCTGAATTTTGCTCAGGGTAGTTTGTAGTGCTTAGCGAGTTCACGAGCCAGTGCTTTTAATACTAAAATATCAGATTCTGTGTACCCTAATCACATCCTGTAAGGGATTTCTATTGTCCTCCCAAGCACAATTTTCAACAGGGAAGTTCTCATCCTCTCCCAATCCATAGATGGAAATCTTAGGGTAGTTGTCTTATAGACATATGGCACATTTTAACCAAGAGACCCACAATTCTTAGAGATGCATATCGACACTGAATTCATTACAGAGTTTGGGTGTTCCAAAAATACTTACGTTAAACTTATCATTTTGCAAATCGAGCGCATTCAAGTTATTCAATATTTTTGAAGTGATCAATGATTTAACTACACAATTATAATTCGGTAAACATTGATCTGAAAAGTTTTAGCCCTTGGATGTGTTATTACTTGCCATTTTATCACTTCACCTAGATGCTCATTTACTTTCAATACATCTTTAAAATTTCAAGAACATGGTATCAAAGTGGAAGATTCCGTTTTAATTTCATATTTTGACCGCAAATACTTGCTTTCCATTATTTTGAAAAAAAATGGCCAGAATACTACTCAATTTTTCCATTATCATTGAAAAGAAATAAAGTATCTGAAATTAAATGTCAGAATTAGAATACTAAGCCAATAACCTTAGCATTTGATAAAAAGCAGATAAAATCAGTGATAAAATTAGAATTGAGTAATTCATGCATGTAAAATCTTAAGTTGAATATCTAAAATATTAACTACAGGAAATTCCTTATTCACAAAAACCTCGCAGAATATGTTGATATATTTAGATCTTTAGAATTATGTACATTTTTTTCTGCAAAATGATTATTTGTTTACAAGTTACATGTAGAAAGGAAGCAGTACATCACATTCAACATGTCTCTACAAGGGTTGTTACAGGCACTTCTAGAATAAAAGTCATTTTGCATTGCACTGCATTAGCAACACCAACAGTAGTAGCAGTGGCAGCAGCAGTGACAGCAGAAGTGGTGGCAGCAACATCACCAGCAAGAATAGCATGTTAGCAGCAGGAACAGCAACAATAGTATTTCCAGTTGGATTGAATTGTTCACCTGCATTAAGTATCTACACATTGGGAACATTTGAGATTGTTGCACTTGAGTGATCATGTGACAACTGCTGTTTCATTCAACTAGACATATTGAGTTAAGGAAGTCAATAAGTTCAGTTTATAAATACATGAGGCACATATAAGGTGTATTATGTAACAATTACTAATTTATTTGCTTAGGTGACCCAAGGCTAGTCAACCTTGAGCTTTAGCATGCATACAATAATGCCTACCACTGCTTTTTTTCGAAATAAATAATTTAACGCAAGTTTTGATTGAACAAAAATGCATTCTGAATTACTTTTCCATTCCTTTCATCTAATTTTTTTTAAAACCCCAGCAAAAGTGAGCGTTGCAATAATTCTGATTTTTGTCTAGCTGTATGGGGATATAAACACACGAAGTTCTCAACTGAAGTTTGCACAAAAGTTTTAGCTGGCAAAAGAACTGATGATTACACACTTCATTCAATCAGATAAAAGAACTAATAAGTTTTCATACCCAAATCATGTACATACAGTATCAAATGCCAGAGGCAAATTACTGATCTTGGGTAGAGGCACAAATTACTGCAACACCTTTCCTAATCAAAGTAAGTTATCACAGGCTGCAAGTTCACACCTCGATTTGCGACACAAATGAAAAATTGATTAAAATACTTTTTAAAACGTCTCATCATTCTCAAAAATCTCATAGAAGATTGCCATACATAGTAATATCAATATGTTCACCACTTGCAATAAAAAGCCATGCACACAAGACTCAATCATACAATATCACTTATACAACAAAAATAACAAGTTACATAGAACTGAATCTTTACAAATATTTCGAAGTTGGTGGTATCTGCATGTTACGCAAATTAAATTTTTTACCCCAAAACTTTTAATTATACAATTAATGTCTTTTCGAGTAATGTAATAATATTAAACTTAAGAGTTATACACAGGTCTTACAACAGGAAATGTCAGAAAGCAGTTTGACATTTTTCCATTTTGATGTTTCTTCTTATTAATGTTACTTGCATTATGTAAATACATCCTGCAAAAATATGAAAGAGTTTTGTAGTTTGAAAAGCACAACTGGAAATTTTTTTCAATATTAAATATAAAATTATCACAGAACTGACACCATGTAAATAATCACGCCTTATGTGTGTGTGTGTATGTGTGTGTGTGTGTGTGTGTG